AATAAAGAAAATTTGAAACTAAGGTTTTTTTTTGAAAATTCCTGATTTTGAAAAGATTCTAAACAATGAGAAGGTTTTGTGATTGATCTTTGGATCATTATTTTATTATGAATATTAACATTAGAATTTTCTTGTTTTATTCATACTTATATTACACTAGCTGAAGTACCCAGCGTTGCTCGGGAAAATTTGATATTACGTACTTGACATATTAGAAAAAGACATCGTTATGGTCTCCTATCAGTTATGGGACTTCGATATCGCAAAATGCGCTCGGATCACTTTCCCTCTTGAAATTTTTTGTTTTCGTCATTTTAAACTTTTTAAAAACATTTTTATCCTTTTCGATGTTCTTCTTCTTTGATCGACTTCTTTTATTAAAAAATGACTGTGTCCAATGAAATATAATTTTTATTGCAAAGCTGTTTGATACACAATGTTCCTGGTTTTCGCACCAGGGGCAAAAATATACAAATTCTTCTCAGTTCCGACTCTTGAACACGCCACGTAAAGTTGGCCATGAGAAAAGCAGGGAGTTTCTCGCCCTCACCGACTCCGTCTCGACCTTCCTCTGGACCTAAGGGTATGTCATGGAAGGTTTGGTGACGCTAGCTCTTACAGGGACCAAATGCATAAAGAACAGACAAACATTCTTCTTTATATATATAGACAGATAGATAGTGACGAAAATAAATTACATACGCTTCCATATGTAGCTTTTTCCTCACTTTCTACCCAATTTTCGACTAATAATCAACAACAGCTTGTTACTGAGAAATAGAATTAACAGAAACAATACTCACTCCCTAGTGGATGTATGTGTTCAAGTACACTGTTTATCCTATTTATTTTCTAATTAGAGAAAACCGATTTGAAGGTCGGAAATGGTTTTAGAGATTATATGAAATTGTAAACGGTTGTATAAGAACGTTGAAAATGTTTATTTTCTACTTTCAATAAAAAAAATTCATAAATTCCGTTGTGTTGGAAAGGAAATCTTAAATTTAGAATTTTGCTTTATGACGGACAGCCCTCATGTAAGTTCGAATTAGTTATTTTTCTATGCGATTTTACTGTGTCTGTGCATAAGAAATTACTAACAAATAGTTTTACGACATCACTGTATATTTGACCATCTTTATAAGTTCGACCTAATCGCCAGAAACATCTTATTAGTTTTTTTATACATTTTACTTTGAGCGAAATGTTGTCGTGGTTCATCAATCAATGGTATCATTGTGTAAAATCTTGTCTGTTCGTTTTCTAACGTACTGTTTCATATTACACCAAGGCCCTTCACTAGGATTTAATTCACAATTATATTTTGGACTGAATAGAGAGAGCGCAGAGTAGTGTGAATTATAAAATTCTTACTACACGGGGCCAAACAAATTAGTAGGTGGGCTGAGTTCACCCATCGGCTACGCCACTATTGCTGTCCAGGTAGCGTTCGACGACTTTCAGCTAGAGAACATGAAGTACTTTTTTCTATTGGTACTGTATGTCGAATACAATCGGGGGGTCGAAATCAGCATACTAATGATGATGGTGATAGAAGACGAATTGCACTGATGGGTTCAAAACTACCTGAGTTATAATTAATTTAAGTTTTAGTCAAAAATTTACAATAGTGGTGGTGCAAAAACCGCTATTTTTGCGATAAAATTGAATTTTCGAATTTCCGTTATATTTTAGAACTTCGTAATCTTTTTCTTCATATTTAGCATGAAAAACTGAATAAGAAAAAGTGGTTTTGAAGCTGTTCGCATATGACATGGCCTTCAAAATCTCGGGTCTACTGGCGGGTCCGAAATCGGCTTATGTTCCAATTGTAAACCTATCTAGTGTTTTTGGTTAATAGATGGAGCTACATTTCATACCTTATTCGACTAGTTATATCTCCACGAAAAACTAACTGAAGTTGAAATAGTAATTACTCTATCCATTTGGAGTTATAACTCTTTCAACTGCAGTTATATCGATCAACCCGACTTGATAGGTATAACTAGAGTTTTAACTAAATTTATATCAACTTTTTCTAGAAATTTTCTCAACTTTTAACTTTCAAAAGACAGTTTTAAACCCATCAGTGATGGATTGTAAAATTAGCTTTAATGTTCAATTGTGTATAATACTTTATTTTATTTGCTTAGGTAATTCTGTACTTAGGATCAGTGAACAACATTCTCTGTTATCTAAGGATTTCTACAAAAACCAGTTCGAAATTCCATGTAGTTTTCCTCGGTTCTCAAAACTTTTAGTGAATTTCAGAGTACAATGCAGATAAAATTCCGTGTATTTTGATATTTTGAACAAGTTTAGACTGATTTTAACTGACTTAAGGCGTTTACAATTTTCCATCAACATGGAAAGAGATTTTACGAAGATAGCGATTATCTGTTGACATGGTCTAGTAGACTGATGTTCAACTTGGGTCAAAGCATCAAAGACTGATACTGAGCTTTCTCTGGTTTAAGTCGACATAAACCACTGTATTCGACAGATGTCGCTGCAGCACAGCGAACCTGAACAGCCTCTCCAGCGTTTTCTGATTGGTGCGTAGTTTACCGTTTGTATTACATGGACGGTAGTGTCCTTAAAGTGTAAAAGTACCGGAATATCTAGGGAACGACTCAGACATGGGTAATTCTTAGCATCCTCAAAGCCCTATAGATTTCGGTCGTAGTGTGTCAGAAAATAGTGCTTTTCTCAATTACCAGTGCTCGTATAAAACTCTTACATGCACTATCAAATTCTCAATGAATGGCATGAACTATTGGCATAATAAGTATAGTTGTTCTACTATATCAATTGCTTTTCTCATAATCAATCAGAGCTAATGTATAATCACCTATTGTATGATGAACCAATGCTATATTATAATATGATTTTACAACATCGGGTTGGAAATAATCATACTCTTTCAGTAAAAGATCGTGGTGTTGTTGATGACATCTGAGAGCACTCTCACATTTTTTTAGTATTATTTGATCTACTGTTGTCTTATCACATTCGCTTATTTTGTTGTTGGAAGCTACCACCGTCCATTACTATCTCTTGAATAGTAGCAGAAGTATAATGTTTAGTTTCTAAGCCTTTGAATATGCTATTTACTGTGTCAGCTTGCTATTTTTCTTCTTTGTAAGGGGCAGTTGATAAACGTTGCATATGAAGTTTCAGATCATCTTGAGACATTTTTCGCTTTTGAGTTTTGCATTTAATGAGACATCGACGTTTGCCATTGTTACTCAGCAGTAATTCTTTTAATTCTGAATTTTGAGTAAATAACGTTGTATCTAACGCACTTGGACGTTTAACATCTCCACCATTAATAACAGCTTTACCATCGGCGAGCAGCATTACAGTTAAATATTTATCATGACGCGCCACGACATAATGCAACGATGTGTCACCATAAATATCCTGAAGAACGATCGTGCATGTTTTTTAATATATTACAATAAAGAGATCAACAAGTCATAAAACATGATACCCCGTTCGCTATGAGTCTATTATTAATGACGAATTCCTTCAAAGATTTTCAGTTCTGACGCTTCTACTATCCATAACAAAATAGAACGGGCGTGAGTAGTTTTTGACTAACTGGAGAATGAAAAGAATTAGAGAGAATGGGTTCTCACCATTTTGAAGCCAAGACTTTGACTTTCACAAAGATTTAGTTTTAGTATCGTTCATATTTGAAAGGTTTCTGTTAATTTAATCTACAAACTAATAAATCTTTCATTATCTTTTGCAATGTATAAAATGAATGAAATAAACGAAGACGAAACATTTTGTGAACTTTTAAAATGTGAGATGATAAAAATTACGTGTACTCTATTATTGTAATTTATATATACGTCTCGACAAAAGTTTCATCTTTTATGACAGATTATGATAAAAGCGACTTTTGAAAAAGACTCTTGTAAGATTAAACAACAGAATATCAATAACAAGTAAACTAAAGAAAGATAATATCTGAAAATCAATCAACAAACGGATAGACTACAATACACTAATGGCTATTGCTGCTCCTACTGGAAATACACGGCTGAAAATGAACGCCAAAAGGTGAAAGAGTGAGACTCGTTATCATCGAGTCACTCATTTATTCCATTTGTTGATGCTTCTTTCCAATTTCTACTGCATAGAACTTCCACGAAAACAATGATGCTGTTGCTCAATAACACTAAATGGCGCTAGTACAGTGTTCTAATAAAGAGCTTTTCAAGTTTGCTATCAGAAAACGCTTCAGATTTTGTTTTTTGAGCAAGGCAGGTGACCAGTGGCTATGCATGCAGCCCGAATTGAATAGTTCAAGCGAGATGCTATGAATATCATCCATCATCACTCTGGCATAAGCAGACTCTCGTTTTAGTTTAGTGTTGTTTTAAACTTTATTATGTTGAAGAGAACGGACATACATACTATCGAGCGTGATACTCATTATAAGCATATCTGTCAGAAGAGAAGAGAGGAAAAAAGAAGTGCAGTACTAAAAACCAGATGCAAAAAAGAAAAACGATAACCAGACAATAAAACAAATCGAAGGACGATTAGAGGAGAAACAGGGGGTAATTAGATACCACAATGCAAAAACTTGGAACTGATTCATTTCGATCCCTCATCTCGAAGCTGCTCCTTGCCGCGTGGTGTAGTTGGTTAGAATGGAAAAAGAAAAGACGATGGTCCTAGAAACGTTTAGTTTCTGTTATATATTGAGCCACAACGTTCGTGATTAGATAGATCTCGTTTTGTCGTATATAGGTATGTTCCCAAAGAAGTAAAAATGATGACGTTAATGTGCATGATATGTAGCACTACACGCAAAGCATAACACTAGCACAAAGGCTTTAGAGCACTTGCATTGTTCTCAATTTTTTGTGTGCATTGTCTTGAATTCTGAGTCTGTTAGGTACTATCAAAAAACAAAAAGTTTTTATGAATGTCCAAACAACAATGTTTCCAGAAGTTTCTATTGCCTGGAATTTCAATGTACAAATATTAGAGAGATCAATAGATTGACTGTAAAATACGTGTAAAGCGAAATTTTTGATCGAATGACGTTTCTTAGTCAACGGACATCCATTTTAAAATCTTTCAGTCATTGCTATAACTCCAGTTCTGTTGACTGTTGGTTTAATTTGTCTATTTTGTCCTCTTCTTTGACAAATAATTTGTTTGACATCATCAGCAAATGCCAGCATGATAATCGCTACGCCAGCTAAAGAAAAGGAGCAAAAAAAATAAATAATTCGAAAATGATATCGGGATACATCAATAGTCACTATCGCATATAGAATAAATAAAATTTACGGCACACCACAAATAAACAACATGCTTAGAAGCATAACGATCCGTTTGACCATTTTAAATTGTTTTTGAGCACGTTGTAATCGAGATGATCCAGTAACGATATGTACTCGTCTTAAAGTAATTTTTCTAATATAGAGAACAAGTTTAACATAAATAAGGGCAATAATGGGCAACGGAATGAAATAGATAATGGTTACTAAGCATAACGTTATTAGGGTGGCGTCCACCGGTATTTGACACATAGTTTCGTTTGGTATGTATGCGAATCGATCGAGAAAAAGGGGTCCAAGTGGATAAGTAATTCCAACAATCCACTGTACTGCTATCAAATAGAGATAGAAACGATAAGAGTGCAGAAATCGTCTTTTGTGGTGCACAACGACGGAATAGTGATAAATTGCTTGATAAGCGTATGACCAATACATTGTGGCTGCTCCTATCCACGGCAGATAACCACGAATTGAACATAATCGTAAATCACCGACTGTACCTTTGTACATGAAAACAGCAATAGAGAGAATGGGCACGCTAAACAGGCTCCTTGCAATGCATGTATTACACGAAAGGAAATTGATGACAGAATAATAACGAGGATGAGAGATAATGAGTAAAACGAACGTATAAGAAATGAAAATATCAATTGAACTTAGAAGAATGGTAAATATCGGTAATATTTCGTGCCATACGACAGACATCTTATCAAGGGGGAAAAAGCGTACTTCCGTACTTCTCGTACTTCTCCGTACTTCTCGTACTTCTCCGTACTTCTCGTACTTCTCCGTACTTCTCGTACTTCTCCGTACTTCTCGTACTTCTCCGTACTTCTCGTACTTCTCCGTACTTCTCCCTACTTCTTCGTACTTCTTCCGTACTTCTTAGTGTGTTTTTTGTACCGGGAAAAGAATTTACCTTTGTCAGAAACAGCCTTCTGTTTTCGAAACTATATTTGCTCCGATAATTACTTTTTTTTATTAAAGAGGTGTAATCATGTTTGAAACTTGTATTCTTCCGTGAAACTGTGGGGCTAAGAAAGTAAAACGTATAAGACTGCTGCACGATACATACTTGTTTAGATTTTATTGAAAAATCATTTATTATATCGAGCTTTCGGTGCTTAAACTAACATCATCATTAGTATATGACTATATATATGAAAACTCCACAAGTTTATATACAAAAATATTGTTACATAGAATATTTTTGAAATGCTGAATCAAAGAAAAAGAAAGAAAAAGGGGTAGAGATGCAAAAAATGTATAATTTTTTCTCTGTTGGAGAAATTTTATTATAACTTTTTGCTGTTATTATAAATTTTCTAGTCTAACTGATAGATTCTGCACCTCTGACTACAAGAGACGTTACTACTCTTTCAGACTAAGTATCCATCATTTTCCAAGAACTCTACCACGATAGACGACAGCAAAAGAAAACGTGATGCCGACAATAACTTCCATAAAATTTTCTAAGGTGTACTGCATTTGCTTTTTTCTCGTAAGAGGTATCGTTCTCAAGTGTTCATCGCTTTTTTTTGATAAAACACACTATCATGAGTATTTTTTTATCTTGATTCTGATATTCCTTTCTGCAGATGACTCTTTCTTAGGTGGTTCTTTGGAATCCTGATTATCAGAAGTCCAGAATAAAATTCTGATCCATCCAGTTTGAAGAGCATATCGAGTTCCATATATGACAAATTTCCAGAAAGGCATCATTTTAGAGCAGTTATGAATTTTTTATTCCGAAAATCTCAAACTACTCAATCTTTGACACAAGAAGATTCGTGACTGCTCTAAAATGATGCCTTTCTGGAAATTTGTTACATATGGAACTCGATATGCTCTTCAAACTGGACGGATCAGAATCTTGTTTTGGACTTCTGATAATCAGGATTCCAAAGAACCATCTAAGAAAGAGTCATCAGCAGAAAGGAATATCAGAATCAAGATCAAAAAGTACTCATGAAAGTGTGTTTTATCAAAAAAAGCGATGAACACTTGGGAATGGTACCTCGTCAGTAAAAAGTTAGGTGAAACATAAAGCGTACATTTCGCCGACACACCTCTTATATTCTCACTGATTTGGGCTGAATTTATCTGCTTTTCCAGTTCCATTAGTGCTAATGTTAAAGACTGCCGATGTCAATTATTGGGTGGGCCTGAGTGAGGGTGAGGGTTCAGAATTTTGTCTTGATTCAGAATTGCTAGATGATAAAACGAGGCAATGGTGGAAAATGATGCAGCGAGTATTGCTGCTTATCGCTAAGGTCTTATTGATACCTCGATACCGATACCGATACTTTATAAAGAAATTTCGAGACTGTCGATACCGATACCGCATTTGATAGGGAATTGAACGATACTTCGATTCCGATACCAAAAGTGATATCGAACGTTCGAAACCAATACCGCCTCTGTATCGGTATCGTCAACTTTTTAAATAAAGAACAGAGTAATATTAGACTCTCCTTAGGTGCTCTTTGTTCAATAACTCGAAAAGAAAACACGAAAAAAATTTTTGTTCACTGGTCATTAAACTTCATCGACACCAATGCGAAACTTCGACACTTCGATAACAGCTTGATAATTTTCGATACTTTTCGATACCAGGTCGAAATTTTGTCGATACTTTCGAGACCGATACGGAGACCTGGTATCGTACTAAACGATACCTCAATACCGATACAGAGGTTGGTATCGAACGCTTGATACCGATACCACCTGTGTATCGGTATCGATAATCCTCTACTTATCGCCCATCTGAATTGGTTAGTCTTTGTTCTACTTCAAAATGGGCTGTTCGTGGTTTGACACAAGTACCAGCTGTGGAATGGGCAAAATATGGTATTACTGTGAATAGTTATTGTCCAGGTATTGAAAAAAATTGATAATGAATTTGCATCTGAATTTGTAATGCAACAAGGTGAAGTCATAAAAAAATTTGTTAAAGACAAAACAACTCTTGGTAGAAGAAAAGTGAACCTGAAGATGTAGCCAAAGTTATCTTGCAAATGAAGATTCTGATTTTATGACTGGACAACGTGTCATGATTGATGACAGAATTCAATTTTCTTGAGAGATCGATCATCGACAATTACTTCACACTGACACGTTTCTCCTATGGTCATCATTCGTATGTGCAATACGTATTTTTCTATGATAAAATTATATAGTGGGGACAACAGCTGAATATATACTTAGACGTTTGAGTACTGATAGAGCAAGTAGTCCTTACATGTTACGGCAAGATTTAAAGCACACTTTGTAGTGTAGCGTACACGATGCAGCTCTTGCAGATATATGTAACCGTTCTATCCGTAATGGTGAATATCCTAGGGACATAGAGTGACAGGAACATAGGCTATTTTTAAATAAGAAACCCTCACACCCTCACTTCTAATAATAAAAAAAATGGTTTCTTTTATTATAGACTGTAGAAACCGTTAAATATATTTTTACGAGAAAACTTTTAGACTTTGCATTCTACGGATCTATTGTGAACAAT